AAGGTGTTCTCATAGCCAATAACACCCTTACTTGATCTAGTTTATTATCAAACCCTTCCAAAATCAGGCCCTGAAGAGTCTAAATCAAACACTAATTCTTTAAGGTTTACACATCATTCTTAAGGCATTCCCAAGCGTCCTAGGGCTTCGCAGGCCACTCCCACTCCTATCTAACTGCAGCCTTTTCTCCCCTGGTGCCTCAGCATCTCCACCAGTGTCACGACTATAGAGAATTCTATATCCTGTAACAAATTTTTATTGAAAATGACACTGACAAATAGTGAACCTCTCCACAAGAATCTCATTAAACCTGGGTTCACTTGCAGTCTAATATGCTTGCTTGTTTAAGTATCATTTAAGTACAAAACACTTCAATCAACATATTAGTCACACTTGAAAAACACACATTTTTAATGATGATTTAATATTTGTATGCATTACACAGCCTTTTTATTAATTGCTTCAAACAAAAACATCCCTTTTCAATATGTAGTGTTGTGTTTTCTATGGTCTCTTGACATTAATGTTAATCAAATAGCTCTCACTGCTGACTTTTTTTTTATAAGAAGTGCCTCTCTGCAACATGCTAGGTTTGTGAATCAGTTTTACACATTTGCAATACAACCCAAGACAGACAAGTGACTCATAAGATCTCTGAAAGTATAACCCCCAATGTAATTAGTTAGATATTGGTCTTAATCAGAACAATGTATTCTAAATGAGACTGTTTCAACACTTATTGCAATTCATAGTACTTAGAGATCAGTGGGAGTTGAGCACCAAAATACCTTTGCAAATTCCTCCCCAAATTCTTAGCAAAATGTAACTGCTCACAACAGCATTATTATTAGGAAAGTGCCTATGATCTACAAATGAACCTTTACCAGCCCCAACTGTGCTGTGTGACCCTCCCAAGCTGTGCCCACTGGAGCTGCAGTGGCCATAAAGAGGTGCTTCTCTCCTGGCCCCAAACTTCTGTGGTAAGAGAGGGCTGAGGTAGTCCTGCATACTGAACCTCTCTTCCCAAGACCCACCTTAGAAAAGAACTATTAGATTATTTAGGGCCCTTTCACTGAACAGGATTCCATTGAGCTAAGCACAACAAAAACTTGATGAAAGATATAATGTGCTTCTGCTCTTGTCTATTCATGATTTGTCTGCAAGCCACATTTAAATTCATTTATTCTGTTAATATTTCTTGGTGTCTAGCTGATTCATTGCAAGATTTTAGTTTTCAAACACCGTACTCTTGATTTCATGGAAGATTTCCTTTCCTTGACTGGATGAGCTACATAATCATTTGAATTCTATTTGTTTTGTCAAAAATATTACGTTTGCTTTTCCATTCAGTGTTCACTTGAAATTCATTCTCTGAACACTCCTGGCAGTTATTTTATTAGATTATTTGAGGAAAAGATATGCCAAAGATAGGCATGTATCTGACACAGTGGTTTTTACCCCCAAAACTTATGCCTGAATACACCTGTGAGTTCTTAAGGTGCCACAGGACACCTTGTTGTTTTTGCAGACATAGGCAAACACTACTGCCCCTCCGAGACTTGTCATGAAAGGAAGGATTAGCACACATCCTGCAAACTTTAACTATAATAAAGTATTTGCAGAAGATCTTTTCAGGTATTCAATCAGCTTTACTTATTTACATGTTTTGGACAATGGCTCCAACATTTGAAGCTACATCATAGGGATAGATTACAAACCCATTTTTTCTAGACTTTTTTTTATTTTTAAACCTGAGTATGGACTTAATATTCTGCTTTGCAATGGAAATGAGTTTTCAAATGCATAAACCAATACAGCAGAGCATGATGCATTTAACCAGACTTACACCTTCCTTTTTATTCCCCAATTTTTTTTCCTAGAGCATCTTGTCTAAAACCCTCACAAATGTAAGTTTTCTTTGATTATATGGGTCATTTAAACAGGTATCTCTCATTAACTTTAATTACACTTAGGCATATAAATTGGCCACATACTAATTGGAGAACACATTTATTTTCTTAGGCAGATTTCAGACATTCTAAACATATATTTACTCTGCCTGCACCTAGTTAGTACAGAAATCCAGAGGTATTTTATTTTCACAAATTATAAAACAATTAAAGTTTTCTAGAGCAAGTTATACAATAAAATAGAAACCACATTTTGATAACCTCACAAGTCCATAATCTAACAGATCTAACATGACATATGCTATATTTGTATTGAAGAATATGAATGGAAAAGCAAATTTAATATATTAGTCACAGCAAAAATAGAATTGAAAGGATTTAATTGCTCTATGACTTCACATTAGCATATTCATTCCTTTGGGAGTCTTTAGTTTCTGTGGTTTATATACATATATTTTTTCCTGTTACAGTTGAATTTGCCATTTGTTAAAGACCTCTGTGTGCTGAGAACTTGAGAACCAGTGACCAAAATCAAGGCAGGTTAGGTAACCCGAGAAGATGCAATATGTGGTTTGGCATGCTGTGATGCAATGCAGTGATAGTCCACTTACAAAGGGAAGCAAGACAGTTATGGACTACCGACTGCATAATGACAAAGCATCACAAGAAGCTAGGAGATCCTGCCCATTGTAGTAGTGGAACCATTTCTTAAGGGAGAATGTTTATTATATCAAGCAGACACAATAATTCACATACCCTTTATAAAGTTGCTTGAAAAAAGTAAAATAACTTCTTTAGTCTGCTGCCCGTGTAATCTCCCAATGCCTTTATACAGTACCTAGAACCCTATTGCTGACCTATAATACTAAGAGGTGGAAAAAACATTCATTATAAAGGGAACTAAACACTGCTCTGTGCTAACATACTCTGGTAAAGCAACAGTAACAGGCTTTCTTTCTCTTTGAGAGGAGAAATTTGGCTTTGCACCATGCCTCAGTTATACCATTAAGAGTAAATTTCTAAGAGCCTGCTTGCTGGCTTTTTAACCCCAGAAACCAGACTACAGGGCTACGTCTACACTGGCCCCTTTTCCGGAAGGGGCATGTAAATTTCACTAGTCGTCGTAGGGAAATCCGCGGGGGATTTAAATATCCCCCGCGGCATTTAAATAAAAATGTCCGCCGCTTTTTTCCGGCTTTTAAAAAAGCCGGAAAAGAGCGTCTACACTGGCCCCGATCCTCCGGAAAAAGTGCCCTTTTCCGGAGGATCGCCTCCGGAAAAGGGCGCTTTTTCCGGAGGATCGGGGCCAGTCTAGACGCTCTTTTCCGGCTTTTTTAAAAGCCGGAAAAAAGCGGCGGACATTTTTATTTAAATGCCGCGGGGGATATTTAAATCCCCCGCGGATTTCCCTACGACGACTGCTGAAATTTACATGCCCCTTCCGGAAAAGGGGCCAGTGTAGACGTAGCCCAGTAGTTTTATAATACTAGAGGTAAATGTGTTCTGTGCTAACTACTTTTCTATAGGGTTCCATCTTTGGGTCCCAAAGAAGCAAATGAAGTGATCAAGCCAGTTTGTTACAAAGCTTGATATTGTCCTTGCTGATTACTGAGACAGTTTGCTGTCACTGCAAAGGTAAAAGAACTAGAAATACCTTAAAATGGTAGAGAAGAAAGCAAAATACAAGGACCTCTGGACATTCAACACAATTATTGAATGGTCTCCAACAATGTTCCGTCTAATTTTTTCCATCCATGTGTGGAATAAATTTTACCATGTGCACAGAGGCATGTGTGATTTCGCACCACCAGTAGAATCACATACTGCCACCTATGGGCACTCTGCTAATCAACTAGGTATCTCCTAAATTTCTTCTGGGTATCTGCCCAAGTGCCTAGCTTACAAGGAACACCAGTCTCTGACTCTCTACACTTTGCTGTTTATGACAACTCTATCCCCTGCCTCCTCATCTCCTCACTAGAGTTTCACTGTATACCTAGCTTCTCTTCTCCCACCCCCCACCTGTTTCCCTTGTCTTTGATTTTTTTTCTTTCGATTTAGCTGATCCCCTCCCTACTAATCTCACCCCAAATACAAATAAACTATGGAACTATGACTCTAGCATCACAATAAAAATACTCACACCAATGAATCTGAGAGTCAGCTGACTCAGGCTCACATTACAGAGCGAAAATTAGTAATGTAGACATTTCCACTCTGGCTGCAGTTCAGGCTCTATAACCTTCTCTCCTAGCTGGGTCTCTCAGTCCGAGTTCCATTCCAAGTGAATTGCTTAAAGCTGTAGCATGACTCTAGCAAGCACAACACAGTTGACCTGGGCTCTGAGGCTATGTCTACTCTGCCTCTTTTTTGTGGAAGAGGCAATGAAAATGAAGCGCTCATACGCAACTTTTTCGCACTTGATTTGCATAATCTCTTCCAATGCTTTTTGCACAAGAGTTTTTTGCACAAAAACAAGTAGTGTAGACGCGTCCGTTTTGTGCAACTCTGCCCCTTTTGCGCAAGATCCTTATGCTTCAAAAAAGGAGGTATAGTGATCTTGCGCAAAAGGGGCAGAGTTGCACAAAACGGACGCGTCTACACTACTTGTTTTTGTGCAAAAAACTCTTGTGCAAAAAGCATTGGAAGAGATTATGCAAACGAAGCATGAGAAATTGCTTATGAGCACTTCATTTGCATTATCTCTTCCACAAAAAAGAAGCAGTGTAGACATAACCTTTAGAGAGAGGCTGCTGGGCTGTTGGGTGGTGGTTTTTTGTTTTTGCAATATAGACATTCTTGAATGTGACACTTTCTACCATCACATTTTTCACTCTGATTATGTGGTCTATTTCTTCTCCCACCCTGTGTTTGTCTTGCCTCTATAGACTCATATTTAGTTTCTGCTTCAAAGGGCTTATAATCTGTTTTCTGTTCTGTATTTGTACAGCACCTAGCACTGGGGTCCTGGTCTGTCACTAAGGCTCCTAAGCCCCGTGGAAATACTTGTAATAAATGTAACAATATAACACTAGTAAACCATAACAAAAGCTTAGATTTCAATGGCTGCTTGTAATTCTGTGTTTCCAGGTGCCTTTCTTATCCCCTACATCCTCTTCCTAATCATTGCTGGAATGCCCTTGTTTTACATGGAGTTAGCACTGGGACAGTACAACCGGGAAGGAGCTGCTACAGTGTGGAAAATCTGTCCAGTTTTCAAAGGTAAGTGCCAGCTCCCCCCTTGGTTTATTTGGTCAGACATTACGTAAAAGTTGACGGCCTATTCGATAAATGTTGTATCACGCAAGCAAGATACTAACAAAATTCAACAGGCCTTTATTTAACAAAGGTGAAACCTCTTTACAAAGCTGCTGCTGCTCCCCTCTGTAGCTCTCACTCAGCCCTGGCTCATCTCCTCCCTCCTTCCTATTTCCTGTGCTTCCAGACTCCCAACAGCCAGTGCTCCCAAGTCTAATAATTACAAGCATCATCTAAAACACCACAATAAGCTCACAGTCTGAAGTCTTCTTACGATCCCAGAACAAGCACAACATGGGAAGAAGCAGAACACAAGAGAAGAGTATAGTTTAGATTCCTTGTTCATTGTAGTTTTTGTCTCTTTGTTGAACCTTTCATCAAGCATGCTAATTAAAGCCATATAGTGTGGCTGTAGTTTCTTGTGATGTTAAACTCCCAGATTCAAATGCCAGCGGGATCCATGAACCTTCTCACACTTCTAAAGAAAATAAATTGGGTTTTCCACTCAGTTTATTCTGAGGTTTTCTTTTTGAAGCCCTTAAGGAAAAAATGTTACTGGTTTGGCCAGAGGATGAAAACTCTAAGAGCACCAACTAATGACCATGGCCCAAATCCTCAGAAGGTATCTTGGTTTCTAACTCCCAATGAAGTTAGGTGCTTAAATAGTTTACCCTACTGTTGCGTTGCACGCTGTATACAAGGTGCTTTCATTTTCTCTGTCAAACAGGTTGCTGTGTTCCAGTAGCATCTTGCATGGATGTGTAGATACTTGTGCGGGTGTTGAGAGGTATCGCTCAGTGCATCAGAAAATGTGATGTGCTTCCAGTATAAAATGCTTTCTAAGAACCCATCAGAAAAGTGCCAACTGGCAATGATTTTTGGATAGCGACCATCCCATACATGATCCAGACTCCCTAAGTGAACGGTTCTTCAATTCAGAGCAGTGTGAAATGACTGAAAAGTAACCCAAACCCAAATCTGACCAGGTTTCTTAGTTTTCTTAGAAGCATAAAATCCAGACAATGTTTGTAAAAAGAGTGAAGAGTGATGAGATTGCCAGTGTGAAGCTCCTCTTGGCTGAACTGGAGCTTGACTGTGGGTTATCTTGAGCTAATTTCATACTTGTATTGAACTCGTAGCATTTTCCTTTTTGTGAGGGTTAGAACTCAAAACTAGGAGAAAACTAATTTTACTGCATTCTGTTTTGAGAGCTTGCTTTCAGTCACTCCCAAAACTCATAGTGAAGTTGAAGATGAGCAGACAAGCATAGATGGACATCTAATTAAAAGTATGCATGAAACCTTTCAAAATGGTCCGATGCCTCTTGGGGCCTGAAGCACGCCTGTCTCTGCCGTGGTCTCCCTTGGGGAATCATAGAATCCTAGCACTGGAAGAGACCTCAGGAGGCCACCAAGTACAGCCCCCTGCCCAAGGCAGGACCAATCTCAACTAAATCAACCCAGCCAGGGCTCTGTCAAGCCAAGACTTAAAAACCTCCCCTCCACCTCCCTAGGTAACCTCCCTAGGTAATCCATTCCAGTGCTTCACCACCCTCCTAGTGAAATAGTTTTTCCTAATATCCAACCTAGACCTCCCCCACCGTAACTTGAAACAATTTTCCTTTTTCTGCCATCTGTCACTACTGTGAACCGCCTTTCTCTGTCCTCTTTGGAACCTCCCTTCAGGAAGTTGAAGGCTGCTATCAAATCCCCCCTCACTCTTCTCTTCTGCAGACTAAACAAACCCAAATCCCTCAGGCTGTCCTCATAGGTCATGTGCTCCAGCCCCCTAATCATTTTGGTTGCCCTTTGTTGGACCCTCTCCAATGTGTCCACATTCGTTTTGTAGTGGGGGGGGAGGGGGGCTCAGAACTGGATGTGGCCTCACCAGTGCTGAATAAAGGGGAATAATCACTTCTCTAGATCTGCTGGCAATGCTCCTCCTAATGCAACCAAATATGCCATTAGCCTTTTTGGCTACAAGGGCACACTGTTGACTCATATCCAGTGGATGAGAAGCTGTAATCCCCAGGTCCTTTTCTGCAGAACTGCTATTTAGCCAGTCGGTCCCCAGCCTGTAACAATGCTTGGGATTCTTCCATCCCAAGTGCAGGACTCTGCACTTGTCCTTGTTGACAAGGACAGATTTCTTTTGGCTCAATCCTCTAATCTGTCTAGGTCACTCTGGACCCCATCCCTGCCCTCCAGCATATCTACCTCTCCTCCTAGCTTAGTGTCATCTGCAAACTTGGTGAGGGTGCAATCCATCCCCTCATCCAGGTCATTAATAAAGTTGTTGAACAAAACCGGTCCTAGAACCGATCCTTGGGGTACTCCACTAGAAACCGACCGCCAACCTAACATCGAGTCGTAGATCACTACCCATTGGGCCTAAGACTGTAGCCAGCTTTCTATCCATCTTATAGTCCATTTATCCAATCCATACTCCCTTAACTTGCTGTCAAGAAAATTGTGGGAGACCGTATCAAAAGCTTTGCTAAAGTCAAGGTATCTCATATCCAATGACTTTCCCATATTCACAGAGCCAGTTACGTCATCATAGAAGCTAATCAGATTGGTCAGGCACGATTTGCCCTTTGTGAATCCATGTTGACTATTCCTGATCACTTTCCCCTCTTCCAAGTACTTCAAAATGGATTCCTTGAGGATCCCCTCCATGATTTTTTCGGGGACTGAGGAAAGGCTAGCTGGTCTGTAGTTCCCTGAATTATCTTTCTTCCCTTTTTTAAAGATGGACAGTACATTTGCCTTTTCCAATCACCCAGGACTCTCCCGATCTCCTCGAGTTTTCAAAGATAATAGCCAGAGGCTCTGCAATGACATATGCCAACTCCCTTAGAACTCTCGGCTGCAATAAATCTGGACCCATGAATTTGTGTATGTCTAGCTTTTCTAAATAATTCCTAACCTGTTCTTTCCCCACCAAGGGCTGCCCACCTCCTTCCCATACAGTGTTGCCCAGTGCATTTGTCTGGGAGCTGACCTTGTCTGTGAAGACAGAGGAAAAGAAAGCATTGAGTACTTCAGCTTTTTCCACATCTGTCACTAGGTTACCTCCCTCATCCCAGTAAGCGCCCCACACACTCTCTGATCACCCTCTTATTGTTAACATGCTTATAGAAACCTTTCTTGTTACCCTTCACATCCCTTGCTAGCTGCAATTCCAGTTGCACTTTCTGTTTCCTGATAACTCTCTCCTGCATTTTCGAGCAATATATTTATACTCCTCTCTAGTTATCTATCCAAGTTTCCACTTCTTGTAAGCTTCCTTTTTGTGTTTAAGCTCACCAAGGATTTCCTTGGTAAGCCAATCTGGTCACCTACCATATTTGCTTTTCTTGCTGTGTATCAGGATGGATTCTTCCTGTGCCTCCAATAAGGCTTCTTTAAAATAGTGCCAGCTCTTCTGGACTCCTTTCCCCTTCATGTAAACATCTCAGGGAATCCCGCCCATCCATTCTCTGAGGGAGTCAAAGTCTGCTTTTCTGAAGTCCAGGATGTGTATTTTGCTACTCTCCTTTCTTCCTTTGGTCAGAATCCTGAAATCTATCATCTCATAATCACTGGTGCCCAGGTTGTCACCCGTCTCTACTTCCCCTACTTGTTTGTTCCTGTTTGTGAGCAGCAAGTCAAGCTGCACATGGTCCCTAGCCAGTTCCTTCAGTACTTGTACCAAGAAGTTATTCCCAATATTCTCCAAAAACTTCCTGGATTGTCTGTACTGCTGTATTGGTCTCCCAACAGAGTCCACTTACTCTGGACCCCTGGAGCTTCCACTGCCAGAGGGAGTAATGCAAGCCTGTTCTCCAGACCAGAGCGACTTTCAGGCAGCATAAAACAGAAGGGTTTATTCAGCTTTGAATGCAGCAAAGGATCTCTCAGCGCTATAGGCCTGGCCTCCCTTAGCCCAGCATGTCTGAGTCTCCCCTGCACTCAGGAGGGCTCTGCCTGCTCTCTCACTGTCCAGTCCAGAAACCCCCATCTTCCAGTTGAGCCTCCAATATCCCCTACAGCAGTCCCTCCCTGCCCATTGTCTTCTGTCCAGGTAAACAGGGTTACCTGGGCCCCCCTCGTCTCTGCCTCTCCTCTCCTCCATCCTTTGTTCTCCCCAGTCTGTAATCAGCTGGTCAGGTCACCGAGGTCTTCTGTCTGCAGCCCATTGTCCTCCAGCTGGCAGGAACTGGCTGGGCCATCCAAGCTGGATGTCTCAGTCACCAGTCTCTGGGGTCTCCAGTTCTGTGCTGTTCCTTGTAACAACAAACTTTCTCCCTGCTCTCCTTGTTAAATCTGTAACATCCAGGGACACTGAATGCCTCCCTTCTGCATGCAAATCCTTTTAATCTCCCACTGCTCCCCCGCTTCATCACATCAGTACAATACAAAGGACATCGAATATTGCATTAGAAAAGAATAAGAAATGTTCTATTTTAAATTCCAGCAAAGTTCCAACCACCGCTTCTGATAAGATGCATAAATATTATAGTACTTTTTTAAATACAGCAGGGTTCTTTGGACATATCTCTGGGTTAACTCACATCCATCCCTGAAATGAAATGTACACAGTCTGCCCTCAAATTTATAATAGTTTCTCTCAATGAAAAAGCAATATAGTACTAATTTTAGCTATGAATAATACTTCAATGAAAGCTAAGACTCTAATATTAATGAAATGTTCCCAGAAGGCAGGAGATCAAAAATGTATATTGTAACCTTTACAGCATAGCCCATTTGCATCACAAGACTTTTCAGGGTTTATATTACCAGCTTGGGTGGGACAAAGTTAAATACATAAAAGGCCATGTCCAGAAACAGTGGAGCAAATCCCTGCCTACATATTGTCAGTGGAGTTACACCATATCTGAGTTTGGTCTAGTGCCTTCGAACTTACATTTTCTCTCCAGAATTGTGGATACAGCATATGTGGGAGCTTGAGGGGGGAGGGGGCAGAGCTTAAAGAAATCTCCCCATTTCAGTGCAGTATGCAGTCTTTATAGTGGGTATGTACCTGCTAGCATACATCATCTAAAGTGGTTCACTACCAGCAAGCAGAAGCCATCCAGGCCCCATGATCTTTTAGACCATTTCAGATTTGTTTTCACTACTTTTTGCTAAAAGTTTAGAGATAAACATATTTAATTAATTGTATAGGAATCACTCTCCTGACGAACATAGGCATTCTTGACTCAATTCACTCCTTACATGAATTTAAAACCTCTTTCTATTATATAATGGAACGATATTATTATAACAGTTTCACAGCCTAGCTCCATAAATCCCTGGTACTCAATCTACTGCAACCTGTGTCGTCTTTGGTTTATCAACGTGCCTAAAAACCTGGTGGCATGTGACTGTTAGGAAGAATTTCATGCCATTATTACACATTTCGGAACTGACAAAAAGTATAAATGAAGGCTTATACTTAGGTGTCGAGATACCACAGTGACACTGGTAGTGTGAGACTATTCAGTCTTCACCTATTTAGATTACCCAAATGTCTTAAATGTAGCATTTGGTAAACACTACTGCCCATAGAAGAAACGGATGCATTGGCTGAAACAAAGTGAGCTTTTTTGCACAAGTCTGGGAACAAACCTCCAGTCTGACCTGCTGTTAGTACCAGATTGCCCTCTTAGAATATGTGGCAGTGATGAGTTGTTTGCAAAAGTCTGTTTTCATGCTGAGAACAAATGCTCACTGAAGACCGTCTGCACTGAACCTCCAGACGTACCTCAGAGTATTGCAAAAGGAAACCCAGATCTGCAGGGGTAAATAGGGGAAGTGCAGGGTAGAGTTCACCCCAGGCTAAAGGGCTCGTACAAGACCATGCATACTATTTGAAGATTCTTGGTTAAGTTCTGCCTCAGTTACACTTTGCAAACTCTCTGAAGTAAATACAGAAACATGGGGGTTAAATTCACCATGGCTTAAAGGGCCAGCCGAATGCCCTCATTTGGGACTCCATAATCTCCACAACTCTTGCATAATCTGGAATGAAGTTTTCATGGCAATGGGGATACACAGGGAGAGGAAATTTAAAGTCTCTAGTGGTCCCAATATTGTTTGCACATTGGGATGGACAGCAGCCACTACTGAAGCCCAAAGATGGGAACAGCAGCTGTAGGGGTACTTTACTTCAGCCCTGTACTCTGGCCTTAACTTTATGTGGAGTCAGGTGGATTAAACTAAACTTAAATGTTTGGTGAAATGAATGGGTCTATGAAATACAGGGCTTACAGCTCTCTGCATTATGTGAGTTTCCCTAAGAATATAGAATGTGGACTCTAGCAGAGCTGTCTCACAGCTGAATTTTGTCCTTTAGTGGCAAAATATCTAGTTTCCAGCAAAGACAACTGCTTTCATGGAATCATTATTTGAAATTTAAATGGTCAGTTTTTGGGTCTAGCTTCTAGGCAAGAAAAAAGCCTGGTTTCACTTTCAGACAATACTGTTGAAATATTGTTGTATGTGAAATGCAATGTATAATCTAGTTTTCCTTTGTCTTTAGGTGTAGGCTATGCAGTGATACTCATAGCTCTTTACGTGGGTTTCTACTACAACGTTATCATAGCTTGGTCTCTGTATTATCTGTTTTCATCATTCACATTTGAGCTTCCCTGGACAAACTGCGGCAACAGCTGGAATAGCCCAAACTGTACAGATCCCAAACTCTTCAATGCCTCAGTGCTTGGCAATGGCACCAAGTACTCCAAGTACAAACTCACCCCTGCTGCTGAATTTTATGAGTAAGTGTCGATTCACCTTTGCTGTTCCTTGCAAGTTCCAGTTTAGTTAAGGTGTTTGTTCGTATTTCTCTAAAAGCGTCTCTTTGAGCGCACATGGCCTAGGGGACAGGACCCTAGACCAGAAGTCAGGAGACGTGAGTTATACACCTGGCTGTACCGCGGGTATGAATGTGACTTTAGGCAAGTCACATGTTCCCTCTATGCTGCAGTTTCCACTTATCCAAGAAAGCTATTCGATTGGTTAGATACAATGCACTCTTGACAAATCCATGTTGACTGTTACTTCTCACCTTATTACTTTCTAGGTGTTTTCAAATGGATTATTTATTTGCTTCATTATCTTTCAGGGTACTGAAATTAAGCTAACTGGTCTGTAATTCCCTGGATTGTCCTTATTCCCCTTGTTATAGATTAGCACTATGTTTGCCCTTTTTCTTGCCCTCTAGAATCTCTCCTGTCTTCTGAGTATTTGAAGTCTATCACTAATGGCTCAAATATCTCCTCACTCAACTCATTGAATATTTTAGGGTGCATTTCTTCAGGTCCTGGTGACTTTAAGATATCTGATTTGTCTAAATAATTTTTGTGTGTGTTCATTCCCTATTTTAGCCTCAGGTTAAACCTCATTTTCACTGTGTCAGACACCAATTGCTGCTAAATATTTTGCTGAAAAAACACCCAAAAAAGGGCATATAGAATTTCTGCCATTTTAACATTTCCAGTTATTTTCCTGGAGTAATGGGCCTACCCTATCTTGGTCTTCCTCTTGCTTCTAACATACTTGTAGAATATTTTTTGTTACCTTTTTTGGTCCCTAATTAGTTTAATCTCATTTTGTTCCTTGGCCATCCTAATGTTGCCATTACATACTTGTGGTGCGCATATGCTTAGCAACAAAGCTGGTTTAAACAATTAACTGAAGATCTGGAATCCCTACTATCATGTGACTGGCAGAGCTGTCTATATACATCTTACTCTTCGCTCCTCTGAGCCTAGGACATTCCAGTGGTTGCTCTAGTCCAGCACCAGTGAGATGGTAGAATGGCTGCAGGGGAAGAGAAAAAGTTCTATTTTAACGGGTGCAAGTTCCAGGGCCTGAAGGCACCATGACATAACTGAAGCAATGTTCATTAACCTGAGAATATAGTTTGGTGGGGGTAAGCTCACAGAGTTAATTGGTTTGCACAGAAACACGAGGGCTGGGTCTAGACTGGCGGACGCTTTTGCGCAAAATCTTGCCGCCTGTCTACACTGGCCGCGAGTATTTGCGCAAGAATGCTGACTTTGTAATGTACAAAATCAGTGGTTCTTGCACAAATATTCTGACGCTCCCGCTCAGGGATAAGCCCTCTTGCGCAAGTATTCTTGCGCAAGAGGGACAGTGTAGACAGCCACGTTAATTTCTTGCGCAAGAAAGCCTGATGGCTAAAATGGCCATCTGAGCTTTCTTGCGCAAGGGAGCGTCTACACTGGCATGGATGCTTTTGCGCAAAGGCACATGCCAGTATAGAAGCTCTCTTGCGCAAATACTTCTAACAGAAAAACTTTTCCGGTAAAAGTATTTGCGCAAAATCATTCCAGTCTAGATGCAGCCAAGCTGTGATTTTCCAGCAATACAAGTTAGTAGATAATTTTGGTTGAACTGTGCATTTATTTCTACTTAATACCACATTTCCTTAGACAAATTCTGGTTCCAATCCTCCAGTCTCCACCTGGGCAAAATTCCCATTGACGTCAATGGGATCTTTGCCTGAACGTGTTCTATGGGAATGGGACTTCTGTAGTACCTCATTAGAGATGGTTGAAATAAATCCTAACTTATTTGTACATTTAAAAATCAGGCAAGATAAGTTATGTAATCTGCTTCTTTTATTCTTCCTATGACATGCCAGTAGCAGAGTGGTATGGCTCACAGCTTATGCTGTTCTGCTGGGAATAATAAGTCATGAGAGAAATTCAGCTAGGAATAAAACGTCAGCGCCACATGACTTTGGAGACACGTATAACTCTTTCCTTATCCTTTGGTTTGGAAATCAAACCGCCATTTTAATTTTGTTGAAATAAGTCATAAAAGTTACCACTTAAAGTGTCTCACTGGAAAAATATTATTCCTAAACCATGCTTTCCAGTAAACTTCTTTATTCAAAACATTTAATTTGAATGTAGACATAAAGGTGTCTTTGTTCTCTCAGTTCTTGCTTCTTGGAAGATTTTGTTTCCAAACTGTCAGCAGTGCATTGAATTATAACTGCTTTCTCAGGATGGTAATCCTTTCCTCCTGTGTAGTAATAAAACATGTTTTATGAGCAAATTTCCATGCCTCATTCAGTGGAGGAAATTCAGTGAAGTTTTGCAACTAAATATATACAAGTTTGCCCAGATATGAGTAATTAATTGTAAAAGGCTATGTAAGTAACCACATGGAAGTTCAAACAAGCTTGAATCAACACAGTCCACATTTATAATACTTAAGAGCTTAAGTTTATGATGTGTGAACAAACAATGTGCTGCAGAAAACTAACTCCTCAGGTGAGAATGGAATCACAATTGATATGACTTAAGCTATTAACTGTGCAGTTAGCGAAATAAAAAGTTGAGTTGTAATTCCCAATAGGAAGTTCCATAACAGATCAGACTAGGGGGATGCATAGTGCAATATATACTGTCTTTTGCCAGAGGCCAGTACTAGATGCTTCAGAGGAAGGTGCAGCAAATACCAGGGTAAACAAGTTATGGAGTAAACTGCGCATTGGGAAGAGTTTTTTCCAAACCTCCATAATTCAGTAACTTATATAAGTCCCTTAAGTTTGAGGGCTTATCGCTTTAATTTTTGTATCCTCATAATTAACAGTAGATGTTTCATATATACATACATACATCCCCTTTTCTTTATAATCCTTTTGAATTTTTCTCTGCAATTTTTTGGTCCTGCGGGTGCCTCTTTTTGAGTATGCATTGTTTAAAGTTGTCTTGCCTTGCTTTGTTGACTAACCACCCTTTCAATAAAACAGAATAAGGCATCTTGCTTAATATTGTTTCAAGAGGAAAAGTGTCAGCAATTCTGGCCATAAATAAAATGACACAAAGCCAAAATAATCTCACAAAAAAAAACAACAGTGCTTAACTTGTGCCAGGACCTCTAGGTTTGCCAGTTCATAGCCCTGGGTTTGTCGTGTCAATTGTGAAAGTAAAAAAACTGCTTG